GAATACCGTGTCCACGTCACTGAACACTTACCCCGCGCTGCAATGTTCAGGATTTCTCCGCTCATGCACCTTGTGGACGAGACGGCGCTGCGTTAGATCAAGCCGGAAGTACCTGATGAAGAGGATGGGGAGTGGTGTGGGAATAGCCAGGGGGAAAACCAGGAAATTAATGACGACTCTTTCGGGGGAAAAAAAAAACACACACACACACCGGCGAAAAAATAATCCGTCCCACGACACCCGTCCGTCCGGCATTGCGGGACACTTGCCATGCCATGGGCGTGCGACGGGCAAGGCCGCAGTTGTTCTCGTGTGGGGAAAGGCATGAAAGGCTTGTCTTCTCATTCTGTGCCTCACCCGCTGCAATTTTAACTGGGATAGACCAACGAGTTTCTCGGCCGCGGGGTTTGGTGCGTCAGGGCGCATGTTGATCCCGGCGCAGGCGTGAGACGGCATGCATGTGTCGACCATGCGTGGGCTGGGCCGTGCTTTTGGATGTGTGTAATGTTTATGTGCAGACTTTCTCGGACGGCACCCCACAGCTTCTCGTTCAACCCTTCTCCCCCTCCCCCCCTTCCTGACGGATCGCACGCATATATTTAAAGCGTGCATCAACCTCCGACAAAATACGGCCATTCACCTTTCCATCATCCTTATACACATATACTTAGGTAGTGGGAGGGGCGGTCCTTATTGATGAAAGAAGGACGGGATGGCTGTGGCCATCCGCCCCTGGAAGGCAATAGGAGTCCCCCAGTACCCACCGGGCTTGGTAGAAGCGGGGACAGCCGCTATAGTAAGAAGCGTTTGGCAGCATCACCGTCAAGATCAAGACTAAGAAGAAGATGGCGGCAGGACAGAATTATGTATTTTAAACGCAGCCCTTTCCATCCCGTCGTACTGACTGCGCCTCTCCTCCTCCTTAGCCTACTGTCGTCGTTTTGTGGTCGAGCCTACTCATTTGTCTTGCGTGAAAGTGTTCCATGCAATCGTCCTTTATTCCGTCTGCCACACCGTGGGGAGAGAAGTACCCTTTTCCCCTTGATACCTTCCTCCTCTCCTCCTACTCTACTCTATGCGGCTGCATCCCGTAAACGTAGCAAGATTAAGATAGGGGAGGCGGAGATGTCTTTTTTCTTCGACGAGGAGGAAGAAGATGAGATAGGAGAAGAGGAGGGATGGTCCCAGGCTGCATGGCAGGAGGGCACGGAAGAGGACGGAGCAGAGGGAGGGAGGGAGGGAGGGAGAGAGGGGGAGGGAGGACGAGGGAGGCGTCTGGCACGAAGCACGGCTGCCGAGACCATGCAAGCGAAGATCGACGACCCTTACTACCAGTACCGGGACCGACGCATGTTTAAAATGGGGGAGGACGAGCGGGCGTATTACGACAGGTGGGAC